ACCGGAGAGGAAGAGGGCTACGAGGAGGGAGACGCGACCATAGCCGCTTGTTAGTGATAGGGAGTAGACAGCAGCCATAGTTGCCAGGTAGGAGGTTAGTAGGTGTGTTTACAAAGTGTGAGTGTGTGTGCGGGAGACATCCTGGGAGGTCCAAAGTGCGTGCGTGTGTGCAAATAAGTTGTTGGGTGATATAGTTGAACGAGTGGGTTTCTTTGTCTAGCGCCTAGCGCCATGGCTGCTTCAAGATTAGTTTGAATCTAAGTCGTGTTTCTGGCTTCGTTATCTATGAGCTTTGTGTGGGCGCAAGTCGCCAGTTTGATTGTCATCTGTTTGTATGTACATTGAACCAAGATTGAGACAAGTCTGATTGCACCACCGTTGGTAGCATGAAGAATCATAGGGTCTCGGAAAGGAAAAGTCTCATCAGCAATGTGGGGAAACAATTTGGACGCGTGAAAGGCTGGATATATGCGCTGATAAGGAGGCACTTCAATCACATACGAAGGACGAAAATCATCCTGACCCGCGAAGGGCCATAATAGAGTGGAAGAAGCTTCCGTGATACTCCCTCTTCATCAGAAAATTCTTACATTTTGACCTAGACATAACTCCATACTTCGAAGTCCCCCTTTTTTCCTGACTCGTTAGCATGTTTGATCATGGCATGCTGACGTTTGATCGTTGCTTCAACAACAGCTTTGAGCAAGCATGCATACTTGGCATTGTAACAAGGCATGATGGGCATCAGACCAAGGGACGGATCAGGGAACAGGTAAGAGAGAGGATTGCGCACCTGCCAACCGTATGGCAGTTGATTCGGTGTACAACCCTTTCACTCTGTGTAAATCCTTATCCCACGTGTTCTGATCGAGGACAATTAAAGCGCGAAGCAGTTGAATGACAGTCTGGTTGATTTCCTCGGGCAACCCATTGGCTTCGGAGTGTCGACCAGATATCATCTTCAATGTGATGTCGTAGATCTGGGAGGTGAAATCTTTCCAATTTGAACTGATGAACCTGGTGTCTCGATCACTCGTGAGAGTTTTCAGAGGATCATACTGCAGGATGTACTGCTGGTGACATTCTTCAATCATAAGCTCAGTTGGTGCATGAGGTGGTAAAGGAATCAAGTACAAAAATTTAGAAAAACTACCCCTGATGACCGTGACTTGTGTATGTCCTCCCTCACTCACCTTTCCTATGTCTGTGAAGTCCATAGAAACCGACTCACCGGGTCCATTAGGAATGGGGCGGGATTTCAGCAGTCCATAAGGCTTATGCTTATGGACCTTGGTCCTTTGTCAGACTTGACATTCAGCATAGACTTCTGAGCACATCCTTCTTTTTCGGTCAATCAAATTGCTGCAAAAGACTTCTGTAAGTCTTCTCAAAGCCGAAGTGTCCCCTTCGACCATGTGCCAAATCCAAGAAGTGAGGTTGGAGAGGCTCATGGTTGGGTACATGCAAATGGTCAAACTCTCGATAGCGTCGAAATACAAGACCCTCACACTTGTGAAAATCAGGCTGCCTGCTAGGGTCAACCTTGATCTGCTAAAGGATGGGATTGAGGTCCGTATCCTTAGAGCAGTGTGCTGAACCAGATCCTCCTTCAGTTTTTTTGGGAGGTCATAAGAGTGCACAAGGCAAGTCAAAAACTCAGGATGACAATACAAAGCGTCAGTGACATGATTATAACAACGTTTTTTGTCATGCAGCCAGCGGGTCAGCGATCCACCACAAGGTCTGATGATCCGAATAGGCCTTGAAGTGACGACCCAAGAGGTAGTGTTTCCAATGTGTTAGCACCTCTTGCAAGGCATAGTGGTCATGTATGTATGTGGAAGTAGCTACCTTGTTGTGTGGGCATGCGTTTGTTGTAGTATTCGAGCGGACACAAGCCATCGCCAGCATCTTGTTGCAGCACTGCGCCAATCCCGTACTGGCTCTCATCCATAGTAACAACGAATGGAAGTTAGGTATCTGCAATGTCGAGCACATAATAATTTACCGAAGCTGCTTTCAAAGCTTGAAACGCAGTCTCACACTTTTCACACCACGCATACGTGACATTCATGCTTGTTTGTCTCGAGAGTGGGTGAACAATGACACAAAATTTTGGCACAAACTTCTGGTAATATGAAGCCAAACTGAGAAAGGAATGCAGTTCTTGTACATTTGCCGGTTGAGGCCAGTTCCGTATGACCTCAACCTTGGTTGCCTCAGACTCCAAGCCATTAGCGGACAACCGGTGCCCACGATAGATGACGCTGTCCCTCCCAAACTCAGATTTTTCTAAGTTGAGATGCAGCTTCGACTCTTTGAGGATCTACAAAACTTCCTCAAGGTGCTTGAGGTGCTCTTCTTGAGGTGCTCTTCCATGGACTTGCTGAAATTCAGGATGTCGTTGAGGTAAACAACAACAAACTTGTTGAGCTGATGGTTGAAAGACCTTGTCCATGAGGCATTGAAAGGTAGCTGGTGCATTTGTGAGACCGATGGGCATAACGATGAGCTAGTATAACACATCGCGCGCCTTGAATGCGGTTTTGTGCTGGTAAGAGGGATGAACTTCAATCTGGTGGTAGGCAGACTTGAGGTCGATCTTGGAGAAAACCTTGCACCCACCTGCAGCATCCGACAAATCATATATGCGTGACAAGGGATAAATGTTCTTTCTAGTGGTACGGTTTAGGCGACAATAGTCGATGCACATCTGGAGTTTGCCTCCCTTCTTTGGCACAAACAAGGTAGGTGCACCGAACTCGGCCTAATCCATCCACGATCAATCATGTCATCAATCTGTCTTCTCAACTCCTCCAACTTGCCTTTCTCCATACGGTAGACGCAACCCTTTGGAGGATCAGTCCCTTTGACTACCTCGATCTTGTGTTTGACAGAATGCTTGGGAACTCCACGAGGTTCAGCCAAGACTTCCGGAACTTGTTCTAGTAGACGGTGAATGTGGGTTGGGAATTCGGGTGGAGGATCATCCTCATCAGGAAAGAGAAAGTAGTTGGATTAGAAAAAGACACAAAAGTAGATGGAATAGAAGTAGAGTTATTTTCCAAGGTAGTCATGGATAGGCTTGACAAAGTAGAAGGCTTGACAAAGGATAGGCTTGACAAAGGCTACATGCAAATGCTCACCTTGCGTCTACGCACTGATTTGCAGAATTTGTTCGCACTCGAAAGAGTCACGGGGGACTCGCACATCTCGTTCGACAAGACGGTACACTCGTTTCCCTAAATGCTCACCTTGCGTCTGCGCACCGATTTGCAGAATTTGTTCGCACTCAAAAGAGTGATGGGGTACTCGCGCGTCTCGTCCAACAAGACTATACGCTTGTCCCCCTAGGCGTCACGCACCATGAACTGAGTATACACCCCTATGGTCCTCAGGCCATGGGCCTTTAACCAGCCCAAACCAATGATTGCATCAAAGGGACGCTTGTCGAGGACAGAGAAATTGAACTCATGTGTGACAGTGCGATCTTTGTCAAAGGTTATGGTTCCCTTACCTGAATTGCGGTTAGGCCTCTTGCTTGAAGAAGTCTTTCTAAAGCCATTACATTTTTCTTCATCATTCATGTCAGACTCGAGGACTGGTGTAGAACAACCCACATCGAAATCCGGCTCTAGGTCGTCATTTAGAGGCAGATCATCCGCATAGGAATGGTCCTCAACCTCCCGATGTTCATGCAGGGCAAGCTGGTTGCTGCTTCTGAGCTGCTTGCGTCGTAAAGTTTTACCTGCAACTGGTGTTTGTGCACGCCTGGCGTGGGCTTTGGCCTCTAGGTTGACTAGATCCGACAAGATTTCTCGCCAAGTTGTATGCTCCTTGAGTCCTAGCTGAGAGACATAATCTTTAGGGGTCACGCCCATTACTACATCCATGCAAGATACGTCAGTCCATCCCAGGTCTGGAGTAAAGAACAGACTAGTTAAATGCTGTTCCAAAGCCTGCACGGAAGTCCTCCACTTTTGGCCCTTGAGGACCTAAAGTTTCAGCCTTGCTTTGAGCGCAACATGCTTATCTTTATACTGCGAGATGAGGTCCTCAAGAATACGTACAGGAGTTACCTTCAGCCACTCAGTCAGGTCAATCCTTTCATAACCTGCACTAGCAGCATGGAGTTTAATCAAAGTGCCCATGATCATACTCCGGTCTTCCTGAAGTGTTCGCTGCACTTGATCCAAGAGTTGATATGATATCCCTCTTCCTGTCGTACATGGACGGCAGTGTGGCCACCCTCTTGTCCACCATGGGGCCGTTGTAGGAACTGCGGCGTTTTGGGTTGACGACTTTGCATTGGAACTATGACTAGTGCAGAACTGCCGGCGCTGCCGCTTGAAGAGCTGGCACATGTTCCTGCGCATGTCACAATTCCACTTGGTCTTTGTATGAGGATTGTGTTAGGGGGAAAGTTTGGGACAACAGCAGCGTGAGGATTAGGAGGACAATGGATAGTCAGTTCGGCCTGTTTGAGGCCTACAAATATCAGCTTGCAACTCTTGGTTCTGCTGCTCTAGAACTGTCACGCGCGACTCAAAATCTTCTAAAGAACGCAGTTGAACCAAGGCTGCTACGGCATCGGCTAGCTTTTCTCTGAACCGGGTATCACTGATCTTGAGAACAACGAGGAGAGCCAGCTGGGCAACAATACTTTCTGCTTTAGCTGTTGCCTCTGCCTCCCTCTCTCTCTCTGCATTGCATCCTCATAAAGTTTATGAAAGAATTGTTTCTTGCTCTCATCCACTGCGTCTAGCATGGCCGCAGTTGGAGGATGGGGTGTTAGTAGATCTCTCAAGAGGCGTCTGCTCTTTGCTCACGTTTGGACGAATGATCCACTTCCCCTTCCTCACACAATAAAAAAGAATACATTCTCTCTCCCTTCTCTCGCTTTCCGCTTTCTGCGCACACATTTCAATACTGCACACAGATAGCTCAGATAAAGAAAATCATTATAATAAAAAAATCATAGAAAAGACGGTAGAACTCCTAGCTGGAGCTGCAATTCATTTGGACTAGAGAATGACATCCACGCAGTAGAATAAAATAAATAAATAAAATAATTCAAAGAGGTTTGACTTTAACGAATGGGTTTGGTCAGATCGGACTGGAGATCCCCTAGTGCCAAACCCAACATGGAGCATGTACCACGAATAAGTCATGGAGCATGTACCACGAATAAGTCAGACAAAATGAAACTAGTTGAAACAATGGAGATTTCGAGGGGTGTTGTCGCATGCCTAATTGGCATCAATCAACATGGATTAGAACCGAGAACCGACCTCTCAGAGACAATACAAGAATAGCACCGCGGAAGACTGTAATACCACAATTTGCAGCATGGACAATGATAGGACCTCACAGAGACGATACAAGAAAAGCACAACGTAAACTGTAATACCAAAATCTGCAGCATGGACAATGATAGGACCTGATGACATATATCATCACTCAGGGAAAGAGGAAGAAGAGACGAAGGGGGGAAGAGGGAGATAGGGAGGGTCAACTACCATAGCTCGATGAACCCACTCTCCAATGTATCCCCAATGTCGCTCGTTGCACATACAATGTCAAGTAGGAATGTCACTGAATAGGGCAATGTTCGAATGGCACCAAGTCTCAATGTCAACTCTCTCTCTCTCTCTCTCTCTCTCTCTCTCTCTCTCTCTCTCTCTCTCTCTCTCTCTCTCTCTCT